ACAACTACTACCCACCTGAGCCCTGCAAGTGAGATTTTCCTTGTCAATCCAAATGATTTTATCCATCAAAGCCATATCCATAGAGATCACCGCACGCTTCTCATAATCTGGACATTCGAGAGCATTCGATACTGATGTACCACCTCCAATAGGAATTATAGCACAATTAGCGCTCATCGCCAGTTCAATTATCTGCAACAATATTCTGATTACAAAGTGACCAACAAGAACAATATCTATATTGGCATTATACGATCTACTGCCTTAAACATCTTCATACCTTCTGTACATCCTTCTCGCTTCGTGGCCATACAACAATATCTGGTAAACGTGGAATTTGACCATGTCGGAGATGCATTATGTCGTGCACCTTAACATTAGTCTTTAATCGTCCTATTGTTAGCGAGTGCATTTTTATCTCCATACTTCATGAGTTTCGGCCGATTCAGATCGGCCGACTTTTACAAAGCTTATAAGCGCAATAACAATCGGCCGATCGAAGGTGCGCGGCGGCTGCGTCGCAGAGTATGGATTTGGCGCATTGGCTTTATCCCAGCCTTCCGCACTTTTTTCTTCCGCCTTTGATTTGCTTTCTTTCTTCAGGTTGTGTTAGTTCTCAGAAGTCGCCAGAAAGCGTGCCGGAAAGATGAGTACCGAACAACAGGTAAAAATGGTATTTGACTGCGACGCCGCAACCCAACCGCCGCCCACCCCGATCGGCCGATTCTTATGGAGCTTTTGAGCATTATAAGAGTAGGCCGATCTGAATCGGGCGATCATTATGAAGTATGGAGATACCTTAGTCAAAATGCGCTAAGATAACCTCTAGCCCATTATTCAAAAATTCTTAAATAGGATGGATATATTCCGGGGGAAATCTGACGAGTGACTCAAATTCTAGGCAATTCCTACTCTCACTGTTTTTAAGCTGTGTCCCCACTAACTTCAATCTGATAAGCTGATGAAGAGGAGCAATAGTGCATCGTGCTCGGTTATATGGACTACAAGCAAACCACAAACTAGAGCAAATAACAAAATT